TCTATAAAAAGACGCAGCTGACTCTGAGGAGCATTTTATTTTTCAAGACGACGAAAGCTTAATATCCGAAAGATCACGAAATTCCTTCAAGAGAAACTGCGCAAGCCCCACCTCCAATATGACCATATCCGATAGATATGCGCCATCTAGAGATGTTCTGAAGGGCAAAGTAACCTACTTCGTTCTCAAAGATTCTGTAGACTTGAGCCAGTTTAGGAGGGTAGTCTTGTCACCTCATCTGCGATGCGAGTGGTACATACTCGGACGGATCAGCGGCCACTGTATATGCCGGTCGCACGTTCCCGAACCAGGGCAAACAATTGAAGGATTCGTGAGGTTCCACCCAGACGTCGGTCTGAGGAGTGAGAGTGTTGTCGATCTCAAGTTGAGTTTCTTCGCATTCTACAGAAATTTCACCGCGGCCAGCGAAGATTTCTACTTTATGGGCCCTGATACCATCGAAGACGATAAATTCATCGAGAGGTTCACCGCGTAGTGCTGATTCGGTGAAACCCAAATAGGAGGTATTGCGCAATGATATCCGAATAAAAAATTGAAGGAGCTCATCTGGATCGCATTTTAATTTGAGCTTTGGCGAATGTCATGGCTTCTTCCGTTGGAAATATTCGTGTCTCCTGAATTACCATGCTACCCTGATCCCAGATCTTCCTTCTTTCAGCCTCGGCGGGACGGAAGATCTGAGTTCCGGCGCGATTGAACGGTGTGGAGACTACGACCTAGGATGACGGAGCGGACGGAGCGATTCGATGTAAGTGGATCTTATCTATAACAAATCAAGACTCGACGACTCAGACCAGTAGGATCGTCAAAAATATATACTTTCCACAAAATGGTCGAGCGATATACAGCGACTATATGATGTCACCGTATCCGGTCCATGCATACTTCGGCCCGGGGTGCAGGAGGTACATGGCCCACGGTTTTGTTTCTGCCCGCCTCGAGCCTTCGAGGTTGAATAGGCAGCAATCGGAGCAACCGTCTTGTGCCGTTTGTCGTTTTGCAATTATTATTGAGCGTGACACTCTCCGTTACCGCCGTGAGACGATCGTTGGGCAGACTTTCGGCTCCAGTGGAACGCCTCTAAGATATTCGTTGCTGGCTCGAATTAATCTGAAAAAAAGACCACAGGTAAGGAAAAAACCTCTCAATCCGACTCTGGGAAAGTGCCACGACTAAAGTGAATCCGAGATATGTATTCATATGGATATGTATTCCGATTCTGTTGCTCGTCCTGGCATACAATATTGAATGGGATACGGGAATCCCCACCCCCGAAACTCGTTTAGAGACTGCCTTTACACTGCTACACTTGAAGCTCGCTCCTAGTCCATGTCATCGGCCACAATGAAACTTATAGACGGCTTCCGATGGGAGCTCACATACGAAAGTAGTCATTGAATAGTTTGTTCGGGCTAGAAGTGCTCGTGACCAGAATTCGGGTACGAAACACATCCCACCTCAAACCTCTATGCAGCAAGACAGTCGCCTCTCACGATCGATTGAGACCACGGAGGTCAATCACAATGAGGCTGTAGGGCAGTCCGACTCTGTAAGTTTTCTGAAAAATCGACCGCTTCGAATGTTCAAGCATCGCCGGTTGCTCCTCTATCTTTTTCAGGTCCCTTACGGTTCCAAGGTCATGGAGCGAGAATCGGATGGATCCCCAGACCACAGAAAGTCGGGACCTCAGATTCACTCTGGCCCTTGTCGAGGTATGATTCGAGCTCCAGGTCGGGTTCAAAGATTATAAATGCATCAAAGTCGCGGATAATCCGATGTGGTGCAAAAGAGAATATCGGTCTCTCGATCAAAGCGCCCTTCATCGTCCGATAAACGAAGCTTGACGACCTCATCCCATCGTAAGCGCTCAGTGAACTCGTCCGCAGTCACTTTGATGAGCGTTGACAAGTCGGAATGTAATCCTCTCGTTATCTAAATTTAAGTCGGGCGGTCTTCCGGAAGGATCGGATAGCTCCGGGGGAAAGACCGCCCCCGGAGTATGATCATATGAGTAAATATGATAGAAGCTTGTTCCCGGGGAACTTCTATCATATTCTGACCTATTCCCGACTTGGAATCACCGGAGTCGAACGTATGGTCCGACGGAGCACAAGTCCGGCAATCGAGACTCGACTTTGCATTGGCTCTTGTCCCAAGTCTGTCACCCGCCGAGCCGATACCACTCAGTGAGGAAATCGAATCCCGCTTCCTCGGATCCGTGAGCGTAATGACTGCTTCGACGCAGCCGCCGGAATGACAGTTGCATAAGACGAACATGTCTCTGCCTTCGGGCTCTGCTCTCCACGGCAGTGTTTCTCAAACTGGATTCCGCGGAACCCTTGGGGCTCCGTAACGGAATGCGCGGAACACCAAAGTCTACCTGCGGAACCCTTACGAAGAAAGAATTTGAGAACCACTGCTCTACGGAACATTCTGCTGTATCATGATCCACGGCTCCAGCAACAGCCACGATACTCCTTACAAGGAATTTACCTCGGGACTCTCTGTGCTATTCTTCTCGTCGCGCCAGGCGCCTCAATGAAGCCTGTAGCGAAGCCTATCCTTTCATCTGGCAGCGATCGAACTCAATGGCTCAGCATTCTGACACAAGCAAGGAAGGTTCCCAGGATTTCGGGTCGTACGATAGGAGCTACTTTCTCCGTTTTTTCCGACTCCCGAAATTTGCGCATTGCGACGTGGCTGGTCAGTAGTCTGTGCGAGGATCGTCATGCGAGTCGTGTCGGCACGCTAACGGACTAGGTGATTGCGAAGGAGCGGCAGCCGCGAGGTCCGCGCGGTAGTTCGTCATTCACCTACTCAGGCTCGCCATTAGGTTGGGAACAACGAGAGAAATGGATTTTCCATTCCGCTCGTGGAGTTCCGGAAATGAAAATGGTGAGGAGGGTCATTTCCGCAATCGGTCTCGGACCCCGCATGGCTTTACGACTCCTGACGCTATTCGGATGTTCCCGCATTGCGCTGAGTCTCCCGGCGCGGCGTAAAGTAGGTAAACTTGGAGACAAGTCCTAAACGATGTCCCGATAGGAGTCACCGAGGATTGACTGACACGGGAGCAGGGAACTCCATGAGTCGAGCTCCGAATCCGGGCTCGCTGCAAGCTTCGACTATAGACTCTCCTTTTCCCCAGGTTTCGCCTTTCGAAACGAGGACTTCGTTCTCTTTCCTCTCCTCCTTCCGGTACACCAGGGGAAACCCTGCGGGTGTCTTGCAAGAAAGTTAGGTCTCGGGGATCGGTCGGCCAACTACCCCGAAGTTACTCGATGATGACGGTGACCATTGGCTTCCCGAGAGAAATCCGATCTGCGGCGTCCGTAGGGTTCCACTAGAGCTTACGATGTGGGCAACCGACTTCACCTGTCTATCAAGCTGAGAAGCGAGACCGCTCGGACCGCACGTGGGCTTTCCTGTTCGAATTCAAGCACCAAGCTTTCCGGCTTCAGCGTATTGGAAAATTCAATCTACCGCCTCGCTGATTGATTTCTTATCGCTTTAGCCGCTCGATTCCAGCTCTAGGATTCCTGATGCGATCGCGGAGTACAATGCTCTGATAATTTCTTGAATGAATCGAGTTCGACATCTAACTCCTCGGGAGTTGGGTTTCCATAGGATCCAGAACCCATAGCGCAAGTCAGGACTTCGGGAACGTATTCCGGCCTATTGACGATCCCCCGAATCCCGTGCAGAATAGAGATTAAGCAAGCTCCATCAAAGCAGTTTTCAGGAATCGCTGCAAACAATCAGATCTGACCTCCTTGGCCTGCCATCAGGTCCAGAAAAACCCAAGTCTTTTCTTCCGAAAATTACTTCATTCTTCAACAAACGAACTGAATCCTTCCTCCAGCTTGCGCTTTTAGCTCATCAATTACAAGTCACCCCCGAATCGGAGTCGGATGAGGGGGTTTAAACCTTGGAAACCCCGACTGTTTGCCCCGCGCAACGGATATCCAAGCGGATTGCGGGCCCGATTTGATCTTGCTCCTCCGACGCGCTGGGATGCTGACCTACTCTCTTCACACTACGTTTATGGCAGAATGCCCTGATATGGGATAGCGCCTTATGAGGGGTACCCCCATTGAACCCTCATTGGAAAAAGTGTCCTGTATAAGGCGGGCAGAAAAATGTATCCCATATTAGGGCACTCTCCCCGTTCCGAATCCCGATGGTTGGCCGGATCGGGTGAGGATTGGGATGTACGGACTCACTTCTCGGAACAGAACTTGAATCTCGTTTCCACACCGGGATGGATTTGTATTTCCGGGATAAGTTTGCAGTCTCAGGTCTCAGGTGGCGTCGGTGAGAGCGGCGAAATCGACTTCTCGGGGAGGTGAGGCGAGAACGATAATAAATCCATTTCCTGATATGCGTCCCCGAAGTTCTTCTGACTAAGCTGATTGTCATGCAAGGACAAACATGCGGATACCTCCAGAAACAGAAATGCCAAATTGAGCTCCTCAATGAGTTTTCCTTCCGCATCTCCTTCAGGGTCATGGATGTTTCTCCCCACCCCATTGACTCTCGAGCGGCTTTTGTTTTGAATGCGCGATCCCGCGGACATGGAGTGCACTGAGAAGGGTCCCTGGGATACGCTGCTCTTGCTCCGCGCCCTCCGAAAGAGAAAGGCGATAGTTCCAGCAGAGCGAGGGTTTTGACTCACTATCGCACCGGATGTAGAGGATAGTTACTCTCCGTCCCGCCAAGCAGAGATCATTCCCGGGACTTGTGAATTCGAGGCGTTCCTGGATGAGAAATCGAGGGATCTCGCCTCTCTGCTCCGGGAAACGCAACATCGAGCGCTTATTTGGACAAAAAAGAGGCCATCTGATCTGCGTCGACTATCGATCGTTTATATTACCAGGTCCACAATGATTCTCCATCTCATTTCGTGAAACGAATACTCGATAAGTTGGGGATTATGTACAGGTCCGACAGATTTTTCCTCGTCAATTTCCCCTCGATTTGCGTCCTGGTCGCTCGCCATGACCTCCGGATCCGTCAAATGCGAGAACCGAATCACAGAATATTTCCTCTGATTCACCGTCTCCTCGAAACAGGTACCTCGTCGCTCAGTGAGGAACTAAACTTGAGGCGTCGCTTGGCATCGTTTTAGCCAGCCCTGGAAGTGACATAATCTGGAATGCGAAGAAGAGACCTCCTTCAGACTATTTGCGGGTATTTAGAGCGTTCTACCTCTGCTGAACTGCGGAGTCCCCGAAATACAACATTAGTATGTCACGCTAGTACCATACTGTTTTCCATTCGGGAAAACCAAATTACAATTTTTCAAGAGGGGAGAGGCGCTCGGCTCAGATCTTCCAATGCAGCTGTTCCGTTGCGTTACCCCGAACGCGGATGTGGTCGAGCTCCGAAAGACTCGGAAGAGGGGATGCTGAACATTTCCGCGATCCACCAGGGTATCCTCTCCAAGTGTGACGTCTGTGGTGTCTAAGCCCGTCGAAGGGGTTTCTCACCGCTTGTCTCTCTGATGAGGAATCGTTCATTCGTCTTTCTCAGGGCCGGGCTGTCCCATTTGATTCAACGCGAATGGGATGGTCTTTACGTGAGTTTGCCATTGCGATGAAAGTTGGAAAAACTTCACGTTTGTCCATTCGGTTCCGTCGATAGTCACCTGAGATTTCAAGGGAAAAGAATTCAGTCTCGCAAATATGGAGCCTTCCACCTCGAGCACTAGCGACCGCTAAGATCTTCCTCCATAATATATGGATCAATCGAGAATCAATTCCGTAATGCAATATTCTAAACTAGCGCTCCCGGTCGCCGCTTCGCGGCGACTCGGTATCGCTAGACTCACTACACATGCGCTAGCTCCGAGTGCGCTGGCTCCGAGTGCGCTGGCTCCGAGTGCGCTAACGCCGAGTGCGCTGGCTCCGAGTGCGCTGGCTCCGAGTGCGCTGGCTCCGAGTGCGCTGGCTCCGAGTGCGCTGGCTCCGGGTNCGCTTGCTTTGGCGCGCGTGCTCTTGGTGAGCGTCCCGTTCCCGCTTTCCCGTTCCCGCTTTCCCGTTCCCGCTTTCCCGTTCCCGCTTTCCCGTTCCCGCTTTCCCGTTCCCGCCGCTTTCCCGTTTCCCCGCTTCCCGTTTCCCCGCTTCCCGTTTCCCCGCTTCCCGTTTCCCCGCTTTCCCGTTTCCCCGCTTTCCCGTTTCCCCGCTTTCCCGTTTCCCCGCTTTCCCGTTTCCCCGCTTTCCCGTTTCCCCCGCTTTCCCGTTTCCCCGCTTTCCCGTTTCCCCGCTTTCCATTTCATCTGTACAAGCTTACAGGGACAAAAGCAAAAGGGACTTCAATCAACACCACGGAGTTCGCCAGAAAACATTTGGAGAAAACGATCATGTGTACGTAAAGATGCACCGTCGAAACAAAGAATTCTGGACACCGGGCACCATAAAGAACCGGAACAACGCCTTCTACGACGTTAAGGTCGAAAACAAGGTAACAAGACGACACGCTAGCCAACTGAGACAACGTCACGCTGACGCCTCAGTCGGCTCAAGACAAATGATCAATGGATTCCAACTAGCGTTCGATCTGCCTCTGCCAAGTGAGCAACGTTCTTTCTCCATCAAAGGGAAGAGAGACCCAGTAGGTCCAAAAACACCCATCAAAACACACTATGATACACTCCAAACACCTGAACGAACACCACAATTTATTCCAAAAATTGAAACACTGATGAAGAAACTTAGAACAGTGG